TTTCCCTTTAACATTATGAAATGCAGCAACAAAAGAGACTTTTCAAAAAGCTGTCTGTTCACCTGGCACAGAACAGAGTGCCAGGGAAGGGGTATCCCACCAAACAGAGTAGAATTCCAAGGCACATCTGGCCTTTCTTCCTGTTCACTGTAAAACTGGCATAGGTATTTAAGGTCCAGATATAGCAAGCAGCTATAACAAGAGACTCTAATCTTCAGTAAAAAGCAGACATAGATGCAGACATGCATGGAAGAGTGATCTCAGTGTAAACGTACTAGGTTTCTTAGTATTTTTACCTGACTCTTCTCATAACTTACATGAGGGTCATTTTCTTTTTTTGTTACGCTTATCCCATGCAGTACATTTGCGTATTGCACAAAATCGTGATAGACAAAAGAATTGCTACAGTTCAAGAAAGAATAATAGCAGCAGTAAGAATCAGTGAAAGTCAGCTGGAAGGAAAAAAGAAGGTTTTCAGAAAAAGTAGAAATCAGAAGAGAAATAAAATTGCTCTTCTTCAAGTAAGAAGCCTGTACTTTAAACCAAATCTGACCAAAACAATGGAAAGGTTGAAAGTATGCTTTGGCAACACAGAGGGATAGTCCACCATAGCCAAACAGCATCAGTTCGTTTTTAAAGGCAGATTGAATTGTGTAACAGATTACCAGCATGATATTTATAAGCATTGCTTTAATTCTCAAGAATGTTTAGGAGTTTAAAAACTTTCCTAGTATTGTTCTGATTCAACAAGGGATTCTTGGATTCTACCTAATTGTAAGTATGTGAATAGTTTCATTAAAAGCAATGGGAATACTCAGGTGCTTAAAGTTAGACGTGATTAAATTCCTTGCTGATTTGGGGACAATGAATTTAATGGACTGTTTTAAAAAAACATTTTAATAGGTACATATTATTAGCCACCTGGGGAGTGAAGGTAATAGAAACTATTCTCTTGTTAGCTTTAAAACAGGAAATGCTGTCTCTTTAGAAGCTAGTTGTTTTATAACATAATGTGAAACTCTTTGTGGTGGTATGAGAAACTGTATGATCTAAGCTTTTGCTTATTCATTTTGCTCTAAGCATTTGCTCATTCAAGAGAACTTAAAGGTGTAATATCTTCTGATTCTTTCAGGGATAAATGTGTGCTTGTGACATAAGAGTTTGTAAGAAGAGCCTTATGTTCACCAAGAGGTATGCCAGCAAAAAGCTGTTTGCCTTTGCCATATGGGACTCATACAATAGTGTCTATTTCAGAGAATTTATTTATTTTATTAATGGTAAGTTACATGAATTCTGTAAAGTAAACAGAGCTTGACAAATCTTCCGTGCATAACAGGACTGGAGAATTCTGGCTTTCTGCCATTTTTTCCAATGATGTGACTACAGTAGCTATCCCTTATGGGTTTCTCCAAGTTTTCACAATAGGTTGAACAGCAGTATGAGCACTGCCTTCGTTGTTTTTCAGTGCAGACAATAGAAGTTGTTGGTACTCAGTTATAGAGCTTCCTGTAAATGTTGCTCAATATCTCTGAGGAAAATAGATTTGGCAAAATCAAAACATTTAGCAAAAAAGTTCTATAGCACTTTAGAGGTTTGAGGATATTGCTGAAAAATTGAAACAAGTTGACATATATTGTCATTGGTTATAGAAAACTCAAAACTTGTGGTGATGGGAGAAATAATCTATGGATCAGCATTATCTTACATTTTTCAGGACCTGAATATTTATTCAAGTGCAGAGTTGCAGATTTCATTGTCTAACTCCCAGCTATTAGAAGTTGAAGAGTTTTCACCAGTGCTTTCAAACACTCAAATGAGTCTATAGGGAATTTACTTCTCTTAAGACTGTCTGAATGCAAAATGGGGTATTATGGCTCTCACAGGAGCATAGAAAAACATTATCCCCTATGGATCTGTCACATTTTTAGAAAAAGCTTCATTTGTAAGAGGCATGAATTGTTGACTGTGCATTTTTACATAGTTCATATTCTTTGTTATTCCTGGTGGACCGAAAAATGCTTCTGAAACATACTGTGCCCAATTTAGACTCAGAGGCAAAGTGGGTATGGAAAGGAGGATTCCATTCTCTTGTTAGAGAGGAAAAAGAAGGGCTTTGAACTAGGAGAGTCAAAAAAGGAGATGTGGAAAAAAAAAAAGTCCTTACAATCATATTACAAAAAAGATACCTGAAAAACTTTAGAAGATGTAGAGAAAAGCCGCAAAAAATACTCCCACATAGAGAATTGCAGCTGTATCTCGTTGATGGAAGAGAAGGTTATGGTGTGATATGGTCATAATGTATAATCATCCTTCCAAGAAGAAATGAGCAGGTGTTAAAAATCTCTAATTTGGTAGGAAATAAAGGGAAAAAGATAACTAATGGCTCAAAGTTAAATCTGATAAAAGATCAGGTATTTAGTTTGAACAATGAACATAATAAACCTAGCAGCATTAGCTAGAAAAGGTCTTGTGCACTGAAATTTTCTTTTCCCTTTGATCTGCTCATCTGGAATTACTAAACATGCAGGCTAAACATTTTCTGATCAAAAAAAGAGTGGAGTCAGTAATTTGTTGATACTATGTAGATGGCTTATTAATTTTATTGGCAGAGTGACCAGTCTTTTTATGTAATTTATTTGGGTAATCTGTTGTTTTACATAAACTCAAGTCCTAGACACTCAGAAGTCAATAAGTGATTTTCTGTCAGAAAAATGTATCATCCATGTTCTTTCTCTGTTAGAACAAACCAAAACACAGGTACGTACACTCTTTGATACCATCAAGCAGTGGTCTCCAAAGTGGGATGTGCGCACCCCAGGGGCTGTGCAAGACAGTCCAATGGGCTGCAGGAAGAAAATATTTTTTGTAAATAAACACTTTTAAAAGGAAAATATTTTTTTTTTATTTCATCCATCATCCTTCTTTAATATCTCCTTGTGTGTATGTTGCCTAATGTACATAATGTATTAGTAGAGTAGTACAAGTATACAATTTGTAGATAAATACATACACAAACTTTGGGAGTGCATGCTCAAAAATGCTTTACTGATAGGGGTGCGCCATCAAAAAGGTTTGGAGAGCACTGCCTTAGAGTAAGGAGAGACATCAGATCAATGTTGTAATGCTAACCTTCAGAGATGTTGCTATGGCCATTTTCTGATGACATCTTTTCAAAGATTGCTTTCCCTCTTTTCACACTAGACTCTGTCAGAGGAATGACAGAATGGCTCCCAGGCTGCCTCTTCAATGTAGATGAAAGTGAACTTCTCTCACTTTCTGTTTCCTGTTAGAAGACATCAAGAGGATGTGTGTTAAAAGCTGTTGGTTGGAAACAGATGTGCATTTTCGGGGGAGGAGAGTCTATGAAGAGGCAGCAGATTAGAAGGGGGTGCTATTTTGGGGGAAGATGTTCTCCAGAATGACATGGGGTAACTTTCTGTAGCACTGAAGGTTGCAGATTGATGTGTGCTGCCCAGTTTATAGTTCAACAGACAGTGATGCTTGGAAGTTTTCTTTTGCCATTTCTTGCATGTGGTTTCTTCCACAAGAGGAACGTGGTGGTAAGCATTGCAATAAAAGACACCAGTTGCTCATTTAAACACTATTTGTACATAGAAAAGTTGACAGAGGAGATTTTATTAATTTCATTTACTGGTATGTAAGAATATGTAAAACCAACAAATGATGGCTTGGAGACAGATAAAGAGAAAAAGAGTGGGTAGGTGGTTGGTCTGGTGACTGCGTAAATCTTTCCAGCAAGATTTTGCAGAACTTACTCGCCAAAGGCCTTTAATTGCTTAAATGACATACTTTTTCAAAATGTACTACCTTCATTAGACTACTTTCTTTTTATTGTTTGCAGACAGCTTTATTATTGTATACCAGTTTAATGCTACCCTGGTATATGATCTCACTGAAGTAACTCCTAACTGCTTTTAGATTTAGATATTATGCATGATGTGTAAGAAGCAGCAAAATTTGACCTCTGAATTGATTATCCTAGATTGGAGAGTATTTTCCAGTAACTATTTAAAAAAAAAAAAAAAAGGAAAATATTTTTATGTAATGCATCTTAATGAATCCTCAAATAGAACTCTTACAAAGAAAATAATATAAATTGTAAAAGCCATTTTCACAGTAACGTATAACATATAATCAACTAATACATTCACCTTGAATTTTATGAAACTAACAGTGCACAAGCATTGGAAATATACTTTTAAAATAAGTCCATCATTAAAAATCAAGGACAATTGTGCTTCACTCATCTTTAATAAATGTCTGCTTTTCTCATAGCTGCTGATAGCTTTTATCTTAAATATGTGCTGTACTTCATTTCTTGACCTGTAGTCACTCTTTGCAAAAATATTCCTTCCAGTACATGTACAATAGGTTACGTCTTGTGGAAACTCATAATTTTTTAACAATCTGTCTACTTCTGTGAGTTATGGTAGCTTTTACTTGAGATTAGCTGAAAGATTTTTGCATGATGTGTCAGCATTGAAACAAATGACTGATTAGACCATAGACGCTAACTATGTTTTATTACCATGAGTATTGTAAACCTCTTTTTTCAGAAAAGATGCCTATAGTATCACCAGTGATCAGTTATCTTGTTGCATCAGTCTCCCTCCTCCCTCCGCCCCTCCCCCCAAAAGAGCACTGCTGCTACTTCTTACATGGAATTGAACTTTAAAGGTAATCTTGAATACAGTGGATAATTTTAGCAGATAGGCCAGGAGGTACAATCAAACATCAGAAAAGCTAAATGTGGCTGGATGTAAAGGTGGTATAGGGGATCTTAACCAGTACTGTGGGGTTTGTTGTCTTTAGTTTAGCAGATTTACAGGAGATAATTGGTTTAAAATTAATTTGAATTATCCTCTAATTGCTTTTACAGTTAGCAGCTTATTTTCCTTGGCTATTACGGAAAGTATTTTTGGAGGGTGATAGCAAGAGAAAGATTTCTGGAGTGGAGAAAGTAGCTATCTTTCTGTTCCCTGACTCTTCCGCACTAGTCTGTCAGATACTTGCAGGTTGTACATCCCACTCTGAAAAGACACGGTGGTGCAGTGCCAGTAAGATAAGTTCTGTGACCTGGCTGGGTTACAATGCAGACATGACAGTGCAGGTGGGCAGTTGCAGCACAGGTAGGATAGAGACCTTGGTCAGAAAGTAGGTATGCTGAGAGGAATGAGATACTTACGTGCCAAGGGTATCAGGAGACAGCAGGTGGCTGAAATGAATAGGGTGTTTTGTGTGGGAAGGGCTATGGCTTCAAACTGCTATTCCTTTTGTACCCTTTCTCAGAGTTAGTTATCAGTTACAATTACAAACCAGTATTGATTATGATATTTTGGTTTAAATAGCTGAAGAGCTGACCATTATGTCTGAAATCTGATACGGAGAATCTGCGATGCAGAAATGGCTATGCAGAGGAGAAATGAAGGATGAGGGAGGGAGGGAGAGGAGAAATTAAAAAAATGCAGCTGTGCATGTTGTTAGATCAGCCTGAACATGTCTGTCTCCTGCTTCTGCAGTTCTGCAACCAGCCAGTGCCTGGCATAAGTAAGAACAGCCTCAGGATCATATTACGACAATATCGTTTGTGCTTTCAGTAGTCAACACCAGAGAATCACTTTAATGATGTTCCAACTTCTGCAGTATTAGAACAAAATAGCAAGTTCAAAATATACTGTATTTTCAATGTTGGCATCTTTGAAAACAAAATCAACCAGTTTTGGGTTTATTCCTAATATATTTTTCTATAGTTACCAGTAACAGACAAAAGCCTTCAGAATTTACAGATTCTTTTTCTTATTCTTGCAAGCTATGGACCAATATAAATTTGATTTGTATTTCTCTTAACTATTAATTTCATTAACTTGTAGCATATTTCTATAATGTTTTTTCACATTTTCATTACCTATAAAGTTTATATAAGTTAGTATTTTGGACATTTATTTTAATAGGATTTTTTTTTTAAATGAATGTATTTTTTTTTTGACCATTTTTAATATCAGTTACAGGAATATTGGCCCAGCTTAAGAGATTTGCATGTAAATTCTTTTATGGACAGATTTCTGAGATGTTGGCCAGTATGACAGAAGGTATTTTCATTCAAGCTTATTTTCCTGTGTTCAGAAAAGCATATGTGTCAAATAAAAATGGAAGTCTGGGATAATACTTACAAATTGCTTAGATATAAAATATTACCATTTGTCTTTACTGTTCAATTTTTCCACCAGCAAACTTGTCAAAATCTCAGGTTTTGTTTTGTAGTAAGCATCATTATTCCCATTTTTCAAGACTGCAGTGGGTTTGGTATTTTTGTAATTTGGAGATTTCAGTAAACAGTCTCAATTACCAATTCTAGGAATACTCTTCTCAGTTTCATGCCATGATATTAATTTGTCATCCTAGTCCCGTGAAGCATTTTGTTATAGGTGACTGAATGCAATTTAATGTAGCTTCATATTAAGTAGTTTGAGACTGGTGTTTATTGTTCCAAATCTCTTTGTTAATTTGTCTTTTGATTTCTATGTATTGCTGCCTGTAATAATGTACCCAAACAATTACACTGACATTTTGGGGACTGCTAATACTTTTGTCCACAAAATATACTTACGCTGTAGTGGATCTATAATTTTAAATACATTAATTCTCTTTTAGTTGTTTCTAATTAAGTTTTCATTATTTTCATAGCCAGTTTTAGCTTTTACCACAATGTTCCACAGTTATCCATATTCTTTAAATCCCTGATATGGTTAGTCCCTATCTAGATGAATGATGCATTTAATGGTCTCTGTGGAACGAAAGTGCTGTTCTGATATACAGTGATGATGGTCTGGGGCAGAGGAACTGCATGCTTAGCACTGTGCAGAATGTTTTGCTCTAAACAAACCAATTTATGACCATGTGCATTCTGTTTCTCCCTTTCACTGTCACAGTGCCCCCCACATGACACTTTCCAGCTGCCCCAGCCCCATTTTGCAGTGTCCCTATCTTAGTGGGGCTTCTGAAGGATGATTTTCTTGCACTGTTGCTCCAGCTGAAGTGCTGGAGCTCAGATTTATTCTTAGAAAACAGTATTTCCTACTGTGAGAAAGTTATTGGAAGGTGTTACGATTACCATAAACTCCTTTTAATTGGTGTAAGTTTAATTTGCATACTGTTTTATTGGGATATCTACCCAGATAACCTAATAACAGTGAATAGCAAAAAAATCTGCTTAATAAGGATAGAATTAACATAAATGCCACTTATCGAAAAAGCACTGCGATAGTGCCAAGAGGTGCTTAATTAGAGGCTAATGTATGCAACTATTTCAAAAGTTGCCAAATGAAAACTAAAAGAAGAATTATTTGTTTTTCCTTCTGATTTAAGCAGGGTTCAGTTCATGTCAGGCTTTTGTAACTCTATGTATGTTCTTGGTGGGAGCAGGTATTCAGTTGGGACTGTTGTGTGGAGCACCTTGTTTAACAGCACTTATTCCTTTTTTTTTGACATATTTTGGTGAAATTAAGTAACTTTCATGCAGCTACTTCAGTTTTACGTACTGGCTCTGATATTAGATTCTATTTTTGAATGGGCTTCTCAGAAAAAGTTGACACAAGAAGCTATTTTTATGTTCTGATCTCACACTCTAGACATGATGAAAAGAATTAAGCACTGGAGTGCCAAATTTCAGGGAATATGCAGTCATTACATTTAGAAATGCCAGTGATAAAGATTCCAATTTCAGTGGCCTACTGAGTGACTATGCTTCATTTAGATAGTAGATTTTCCACTTGCTATCCAGTCCTGCACTAATCTAAAAGTCAGTAAGCCAGATCACATCAAGTTTTAAATAGAGGAAAACTATTTACCAAATTACTACTACCTTTTATGCATACATTGAACTACCTTGGATTGGAAGAGGAATTTGCAGTCAGTATATTAAATAGATTGCCAAAAGCTACTATTAATGCTCAAAGTATTTAATCTTTTTTTAAAGGACATTTTAAAGTGTATTCGAAAAATGCACTCATCCCCATCCCATCATGTCTTAACTACTTTTGTTACATGTGCTACCTAAAGGAAAGCTAGCTACCACCTAACTTTCATTGTATTTATGGTCTCCACTAAAAGAATGCATATGTAAGAAATGACAAAGAAGGGTAGGTAGAAGGAACAGGCCCACAGAGAAAGGGTAAAAGCATAGGGTGAAAGGAAAATAATAAAACCATAAATGGATGATGAGGTAGGAAATTAATGGAGCAGTAGAAGTGTTTAGAAATCAGA